TGGCATGCGCACCTGACGAGGTGTTTGTTACTTTTAGGATTTGTGCAATGTTTGGCGGATGCATGTGTTTTTCGATTGATGGAGGACGGATGTGTGATCATGATCATTGTGTGGTCCACGTGGATGACATTTTTGCCGTAGGGCAGAAGGAGGGACGTGACAAGTTTGGCAGTGACCTCAACGAGGTGGTCCCCGTGAAAAACCTTGGGGGATTGAGGTGGTACTCCGCGTGCTTTTACCAGAGAGATCTAGCGAGAGGCCTTTTGAGGATCTCGCAGCAAAGGTTTGCAGAAGGGTTGGCTGCANAGGCCGGACATCGCGAATGCAGTACGAGCAGTAGCGCGGTATTGCGCGTCTCCCAAGATGGTGCACTGGAAGGCAGCACTTGGTAATTTAGGGTACGTGCGTAGGACGAGTTGGATGGGGATTAGATTTGAGAGGGGGGTGGTCACTGGCATGAGCATGCAGGTGTTTGTGGATGTCGACTATGCAAGCAAGGCAGCAGACCGTAGGTCGGTCTCAGGAGGACTAGTGATGCGTGGGAGTGGGTGTGTGACTTGGTTTTCGAGGACGTAGAAGTGCGTTACGCTCTCCACAACGGAAGCAGAGTATGTGGCAATTGCCGACGTCTTGAAGGAAGTGCTTTTCTTGAGGCAGGTTTGGCGTTTTATGTTGCCAGATGCAGGTATGCCGTGCATTCCGGTCTTCGAGGATAATAAGGGAGCGATTCAGATTGCGCACAGCCCGATCACGAACTCCAACTCGAAGCACATCGATGTACGGCATCACTTTATCAGGGAACTGGTAGAGAGGAAGGAGATCTCAATTACTCATGTGCCGTCGGAGTTTCAGCATGCAGATTTCTTGACGAAGGCTATCAGCAAGGAATCTTTTGCGTTGCACAGACTTTGTGATCAATTTGCAGTGAAAGAAGTGTTTTGGGATCAAATCGTGTTTTGCCGCGGACACACGTACCCATTCGGCTCGGATCGCAGGGTGCCCGCTCTGAGACCCTGCAGGCACGAGTACTATGACGGCCCTATATTGTGATCCATAGACAATGTGCGGACCCTGTAGGGACCAGGGCTGTTGTACTGTACAGGAAATGGACCCTGCCCGCTCTGAGACCCTGCAGGCACGAGTACTGTGACGGCCCTTTATTGTGATCCATAGACAGTATGCGAACCCTGTAGGGACCAGGGCTGTTGTACTGTACAGGAAATGGACCCTGTCGGGCCTGTTTCGGCCTACCCCGTATAGGGCAGAGGCTTCCTGAATGGTGTGTGAGGGTACACCTTGGTACAAGGTCAGGTAATGAATAAGGTCGAGGAGGCTGCCCCATGTGAAGGTGGCGACCTTTATAATGATGTCGGGGGGTGTACCGTGTACGGCAGGGACCTTGCGAGTCGTCATCTGTTTGGTGCAGAGCGGGTACCACCTTGGTGGAAGGTAATTGTGATAATTTGTTTGCATCAGACACACGTAATCCACACAAGTTCTCGACGTCGGACTTATACCGCACCCACACCAAACGCCCTAGAGGACACGTATTCGTACAACTCGCGACCGGAAAACACTTGTGTATTCTCGCCGTTTATACCAACCACTTGCGCGTTCTCTCGGTCTGGTGTGTCTCACCGAACCAGAAACCGAGTTTTTTACTAGCTTGTGTAAGTAAAAAAAGACGACGCAACGGGTACCCGCACGCGCCGCAAAAAACTCACGAGGATAGTCTAAATCTTCAATCTACGTGCGCCCGGCGCATGAGAAACATACGGCGGCGTCAATAACAGGCGGGGGCGGGAGACACAGATAGATCTATCTTCCGTCCAGGATCTGTTTTTCTTTCCATCTCGTTCCTATATCCCCGGCTCTGCGCACGACATGTTCCACGCTACGCACGAAGATATAATTCTAACTCCCACGCGCCCCTCCCCCTCCCAAAACCGTGCTAAATAGCCTCTTACTAAGCAAAACTCCGTCACATCCGAACACTCCATTTCGCCATCAATAGGCGACACACTCGAGGGCACAGATGGTGCGATGCGCGCCTTCTAGAAGTCGGCGTCCGGGGCGAGGGTTTCCTCGACGCGAAGAGGACCAGCGAAGGGGTCGACCGTCTCCTCTCCGTCCGAGGGAAGCTAGGGGTTGGCGATGGCCGGCCCCTCTGTGAAGAGGAAATAAAACAAACAACAACGGGGGTTGACGAAGTGGGCGTTTAGTATACAGAGCTGATGCGCGTCGCGGCGGTGCGGGGGCGAGCAAGAGGGATGCATGCGTGTGGTGCACTGGTTTAGCCAAACTGAAAAGCTGGGGAGGTTCCTCGCCGGGTATCCACTTTGGTTCAACATCAACGAACACCACGATGTACGTTTCCAGGGTAGTCGTCGTCGCCGACAGAAACGAAACTTCGCTGAGAGATGCGAAACAACGCGTGGCAACAAGGGGGAAAAACTCCCCCTTCCAGGTGCGTCTACTCGGGGAATGGTCACTCCCTACATCGCCTGTTTCATGTATGCTTTTTAGCTATACGCGACTGCCGTGGCGGCAAAACGCACCCCGTGGGACGGGTAAAAGAAAGCATAGTGAACGCCCGGTGTCATTACTCCAATGTGACCCCGGTTGGGTCGTCTAGCTAGTAGAAGTGGAGGACGAGGGCCAGAGGGGCAGGCGACAGAGTCCAATAATGGGAGAGAAACAAAAAAAAATCTCTCACCCGTGTAGTACGGGGTGAGGTAGCGCCGAGCGTCGGCGTTCGTGATGGAGGCGGGGTCCATCGCCGCGAGCCCGTGAGCAAGGCGGCGGGGGCTCGTGATGAACCCGTATAGATGGCGCCACATCCTATCATATGTTATCGTAAACAATATTGGGATATATGAGTAGATGGCGTATGGGATAAGAATTGACATGCATCTATGCCAACACAAGACTCGGCAACACTAACGGCACGACACGATCCCGGGGCTATGCGGCGTGATATTTTTTGAACGCCCCCCCTCCCACAACAGCACCCCAATAATGACCGCCACAACAAGCATTTCAACAGGTAGTGGTGATTGGGCTCAGCCTACAATCAGATATTTTTCGGGTCCAGTTTATAGCTGCAAGAAGGCTCGTGAGAGGACGCAGTCAAATAACTGTGCAACGGCTAGACGTGTGCAAGGTGACGGATGGAGCGGTGAGCCCGGGTCAAAACACATGTATCTTGTGCAACGTAAGGGAAACCTGCTACAAACAAAAAAATTTCACACACACCCGGCTAGACGTGTGCAAGGTGACGGATGGAGCGGTGAGCCCGGGTCAAAAACACATGTATCTTGTGCAACGTAAGGGAAACCTGCTACAAACAAAAAAAACTCACACACACCCGCACTCACGCTTCTTGGAACGCCCTCTGGTTCTTCGCTCCGAATCCGCCGGTCTGTAGCTTGAACCAGCTCCTCACCTGCCTCACAGCTCGACAGGCGATGGTCTCCGGCGCGCCCACGTCAGTGAGAGGGGCATGCTCTAGCTCCGCGATGGCGTGCAGGGCGAGCGGGGTCGCAACCTGAAAAGTGTGGATGGAGTACACGGGAATGCGAGGTCGAACTGTTTAGTCTGTATTTTCTGATGAGCGGAGGGGCGCATGCACGAGAGAGTAGGCCTACGCGGCTGGGACGCGGCACTCCCAGCGGAACGGACGAACACATTTTGACCCCGCGGAAAAAAAACATCATGTGGAGACACGAGAAAAAGCGCACATGTCCACCTGAGTCATGAACAGTATGTGTGGTGGGACTACGTACCTTTGAACTGTAGCCGCCAAGCGAAAACACACCTAAGCGCTTCCACGTACCTGGTTGGCGAAGTCGCGACGGAGGCTGTTCCCGCCGAAGATATCGGCCATGGACAGGCCATGGCGGTCATTGGCGCGGTGGGCCTTCATCGCTCGAACGAAGGTGGCGTGCATGAAGGCCTCGACGCGGCGGGCGTTCTGCACAAAGTGAGTGGGGGACAGGGCACGTGAAAGGCAGCAGTTGGTTAGACGGCACGGAGGTACGTGGCGATGCTCAAGCTTCAACACTCATTCGGCGTGACCTTCACGGCCATAGACACTACCGGTAAAAGCTTTGAGGTATACATACTCTCTCCCAGGGACCACATACATACGCGCAACCACGCACTCAACGTAGACATCTACACACCGCTCCCGAAGCACACAAAACAATGCCCCCGTCCGCATCCATGGTGTACAGAGAAGCGCGAACCCCGCGGATGAGGTCGGACGCGGTCTCCGCTCCCAGGTTGGCTCGGATCTCGTCGTTTAGAGCGGGTAGGATGATGTGCTCCGCCAGGCCCAACCGAACGGCGGCGTGGAGCTCGCTCCTGTACGGCGAGATGTTCTTGGCGAGGATCGCTGAAATGTAGAGACATAAGGCACCATGGCGCAAGACACACGGCGGCGACACACAGAATGAAACGGCGTAAAACCCGCAAGGGGCGGCAGGACGCATGTACTCTGGCACAAGCATACATGGGCGTGGGTAGGCACATCAACGACGCAAACGAGGCACCGAGCATCCGTGGTCGCTTAACCAGGGGCTCTTTAAAAGGTGCCCGATCATCTTTTGGGCACAAGGTATCGAGGGTAACGAGGATACCGGGGGCCGAGAAAAAGTAGTACACGACAAAGCGCGGTACTCGTTGGGCCGCTGAGTTCCAAAACATTTATGAACAGGAGAAACAACAAGAAAACCTACATTTTATAAACCGACCACACGCGTTGTATACCTGGGAACTCGGAGGTGACGGGTCCGACCCACATGCAGCTGATTGCCGCCATAACCTTGTTGGTGGTGGACGGTTGCTGTCCAGAGAAATGGCGCTTCTTCTCGGGCCCCACGAAAGCCTCGCTGAAAGGCGCCGAGATAGCCAGGATGAATCCTCGCTCGGATGACTCGCCGAAGTTGCCCTGCGTGTTGATCGAGGCACCAGAAGACGGCGGGGGCGCATGGAAAAGAAGTTGAGAAAAAAAAAGAAGCGAATGACACGCACGTGAGGGTTCAGTAACCGAACACAAACAAACGTTTGTTGTGCAATCAATGCCTTGCGAAATATAAATATGATATACACATGACATACACGAGTACGCACTTCACAACTTACGACGGCCCTCAAATGTTGTGTACCATACTCACCATCAAGGATGGGGCCACGAACCGGAGCAGGTGGCCCGAGAGGCCGGACAGCACTGTCGATGAAACAATCTGACGGAGGTGTTCGAACACCTCGTCAGAGCTCATACTGCTGTTGATGGTGACGGACCTGGTGATGCTGGCACCCACCGTGGGCGTCCCACGAAGGCTCCCAAAGGGGCGGCAGCCGCCGTCTAGCGTCACACTCGGGAACGAGCCGCGGCGGGCGCTGTCTCTGCCGCCGGCCTCGCCGCCGGAGGGTGGCGTGGTGAGACGAACATGCCTTCCGCGCCGGCGGGGGGCAACATGCTGGTTCCACCCATCGGAGTCGCGTCCCCCGATGGCGGTCATGGGAGAGGGCATAGGAGAGGGGACCTGGGGCGCGAGTAGGTCTTCAGACTCGTTTTCTTCCTCGTCTTCCTTCTCTTCTTAAGAGTACTCGGGGTCGTCATCTTCGTCGCCGCTTTCTTCGTCCTCCGTGTCCTCTACAGGTGGAACCGGTTCGTCGTCGCTCTGTGGTGATGAGCGAGAGGGGCAAGGGGTGGCGGGCGGAGAGGATGCGGCATACGCACGGATTGGTGGTGTATCGCGGCGATATTTCGTACGGTTAGAATCGCTGTCTTTCAGAGGTTATGAACGCACAAATGTGGTGAAAGTAAAACACAGGCATATACCAATGTTCCAACAGCAACGTGTGTACTTATGCGCCACCATTTTGCCGTGCGGCACACGCGTTCCAGGCAGCGAGGGCGGGCATGTCATACATGTTCACCCAAACGCAACGGGCAGGGGGCGTACTCGGACAAATAGTATTGCTTTTTAGTACTGGTGTTCCGCCATCACCTTTCGCGTTCAGATAATGTTTGTAGATGTGGTTACGATGACAGTACCGACGGAGATGCTCTTGGGATAGGAGCCTTCGCATCCCGTCTTTCACACCCGGGAGGTGGTCTAACAATGAACGAGCGAACACTCTCAAAAATTCGAAGGACTCCCGAGTGCAACATGTGATTTCAATGGTCACGACGTCGTCCTCTCCCTGGCCACTCTTCTTTTGTGGGAGGCGGGGGGAGGGGGGGGGGGGGTACTCATAGTCGTGCATGCCGTAGTCGTTAGACCATTGACCTCGCATCCCTACAAGGCCGGGACGGAGCACGCCGGGTTCTCACCGGACCAGGGGGGAGGGGGGCGGGGCTTGTTGTTTATTGGTATATCGTGTAGTGGTTCAGGCCCATGTTTATGGTTTCCAAATCTTTATCTTCCTGTCTTTGCACAAATGTTGACTTTTTCGACCTTTTCGGCAGTCTGCCTCCCGAACGAGTGCGAATCAGCTGTTCGACCTTGCGAGATTAGCCACAGCTTTGCCTGAGATGCATACTGACCGCCTATTTGTTTCGCCAGGGTCCACGTTTGATTTTTTTCCAGCAGAGCAAGATGTTGAAGATTCGGCCGAAAGGCCAACTCGAAGCAAATCTTGGGCCAAGATCTGTCCAAAAGCTGGTGTGGGAAAAATCTTGCGTGAAAATTGCGCATCTTGAAAAAATCAAACCTCGGCCTTGGCGAAAAATGTAGGCGATTTGTAGACATCTCAGCCAAAGCTGTGACTGTTATCAAAGGTCGAACAACAGCTGATTCGCGTTGGTTTGGGAGGCAGACTGCCTACAAGGTCGAAAAAGCCAACATTTGTCCAAAGAAAGGAAGATAAAGATATGGAAACCATAAACATGGGCCTGAGGGCGGACAAGAGAACTCCGACAGAGATACATAAGCGGGGGGTGTCTCCCAACATGTAAGAAACTTTCTTGAATAGACTATATACATATGTATTTTTTTTTCTCCCATCATCGGATTCTTCTGTCGTCTGCCCCTCTGGCCCCTGTCCTCCGCTTCTACTGCCTAGACGACCCAACTGGGGTCACATAAGAGGGGGGGGCTGGCCCCCCTCCTGCGGTTCGTGCCTGAGGTATTTTCATCGCGAGAAGGGTACAACAATCCCTTCCCTCGCGACTTACGAAGTCGATTATGGTTTACTAACAACGAGTTTTCTTTGCAACGCGTCGCTTTCATCCTAGACCAGGATTTATTTTGTGAGAAAAAAACTCACTCTGCCGGGACTCGGACCCATGACCTGGCCCTTAGCAGGCTGCGAGGTTACCCACTAGACCACCGGGGCGACCGCGACTTTATATGTGTCATGATGAAGTACGCTCACAGAACCACGAAGTCGCGTGTTTTCCTTTCGAAAGAATATTCCCATTATTATGCAGAGACAATGGCGAGTTTCGGCCAACGTTTTTTTACTTCTAGAATTAGAAATAACTTCTAGATTTAGAAGGAAGGGTCAATTTCTGGGAACCTTCCTCGAAGCGGGGGAACATTGAGCTCCTAAATCTGGAGTGTGGCTCTCAGATTTAGAAACGAAGACCGCTGGCGCTGCTTTTTTCTAAATCGAATTTGCTTTCAGGAGAAGAAATAGATTTAAGCTTCAGAGGAGGAGCAAAGAGACCATCATCACTGCTGTAACAACAGCAGCAGCAGCACAGCAGCAGCAGCAANAATCTGGAGTGTGGCTCTCAGATTTAGAAAAGAAGACCGCTGGCGCTGCTTTTTTTATAATCGAATTTGCTTTCAGGAGAAGAAATAGATTTAAGCTTCAGAGGAGGAGCAAAGAGACCATCATAACTGTAACAACAGCAGCAGCACAGCAGCAGCAGCAGTAGTAGAGGGAAGCCTGATGTAATCAAACTACAGCAGGTACCACGGAAGGTGATGCTGTTGTGTGGACTCCATCGCTGCTGCCGACGAAGGTCAGACCTACATCTATCTGGGGGTGGTTGGTTGGTCTGCGTGCGGAAGACGAAAAAAGCAGGCGTGTGCGTGTTGTGGTGT